CTATTAAATATTCAGTTATTTTAATTCCACGTTTTATTGATTCAATACGACAACAACAACAACAACAACAAACACAAATAAATAAAAAGAAATTATCAAATTTACGTATACTTGATGTGACAAATTTTCCTGTTGTTGAATTAATATTAAGATATATATCTACACATTGTCGTTTAGCTGAAAAAGAAACAAAACGTAATCAATTAATTGATATTTATCATCAACAACATCAACATTTATTACCTGTTCTAAAATCTGATGATGAGAATAGTAATGATAATGAAGTGAATACTAGTATAGGTAAAACATTAAATTTTCCTATCATGAACTTATTATGAATAAAATGTGAAACTCACATTATATTAATCAGTGATTGAAAAGTAATTAGATAAAATTGTTCATTCATTTTTGAGCTTCTTAAAAGAGTAAGGGACTGTAGAAATTCGAAAAACATTGGATTAGTATCAGAATAGGCGTGTTCCATCAAAAACTTAACTCGATAAGGGTACATTTAATTTTGACGTTATCTGGAACGTAAGGATTTTAGACCGTGCTCTTTCTTTTGTCCAAAATGCTCGGAAGTAGGCTTTCTGGAAAAGTTTTTTGTTTTAACAGTCCACCATGATAGAGCAACCAATTCTCCACAGAATGAGATGTCTCCGAGCTCTCTAAGATGTTTTTTGGTCGAGTTACATCAATTTTAGTGAAAGGCAAAAGCCATTTTTTCTCAGAGGAAATAGCAGGAAAAACAGCTTTGGCCCTTCACTAAAATTGATGTAACTCGATCAAAAAATGTCGTAGAGAGCTCGGCGACATCTCATTTTGTGAAGAATTAATTGCTCTATCATTATAGACTGTTAAAACAAAAAATTTTTGCGATCATTGGTCTAAAAACCAAAGTTTTCTAGAAAACCTACCTACGAGCATTTTGGACAAAAATATCCGCTAGACAAAAGAAAGAGCATGGTCTAAAACCCTTAAGTTCTAGATAGCACTACATTCGGTCAAAACCGAAAAAAGTTAACATAGACCAACTTTCGAAGGAAACATGCCTATTTTGTGTTCTTTTTGAATATAGATTCAAAAATTACTCAAAGACGAAGAAACAATTATTTCAAATACTGAAAAAGAAAGAACAAATATTTTCTCTATAAAACTACATACTAATGATAAATTTGCTGAAAATCATTTGTTAATAGTGAATCTTTCAAGATAAGAAACATCGTATCAATTTAAATAATTTTCTCAATTTCTATGAAAAGTAAGCTTGATCATTCTTGAATGATGATTCTAAAACTATTCATTCTTATATCGCTTTGTATAGACAACAATCTCGTCTGTAATTCTATGCGAAAAAACGTATGGAATAAAGGAGACTATTGTTGCAAAAAGGGTCAATTTTTGCATCTCTAACAGTTCGATTCGTAGCTCCTAAATCAGAATTTCTAGAGACTTTTTTAAGAGGTTGGATATTGAATGAACATCTTTTTTTTCTAATTACTTTTGCTTAACCTTTTAACCCTTTGCGTCTGGGCGACGTGAATTCGCGTCCTGAGATTTTGAAGCCTGGATAATTTTAAAAATTACGGTCTGTTGATTATTTAATGATATGAATTGCATGGAGATTTGTGTTTAGGATATTTTTGCGTTAAGATTGTCTATACTTATTGATTGTCCCTTAACTCTTTTAATACGGGATTATTTTTATATAGTAAAAAGGACGGGAGACGGTTGATAGACAAAAATTTTTTGATTCAAAATCCCAACTATGTTATACCAAATGAAAGAGCTCGGTGAGTTGAGCACTTTTTGTGATGGAATTTGGTCTTTTAAAAGAAATTATGAAGAGTTCTGGGTAAATTAACTTGTAAAATTTTAGTCGTTGCCACACTCAGAACTCTTCATGGTTTCATTTAAAAGACCAAGTTTTGTCACAAAAAATACTCAACTCACCGAGCTCTTTCGTTTAGTTTAATATAGTTGGTGTTTCGAATAAAAAGAAATTTTTGTCTATTAATTGTCCTCCGTCCGTTTTATTATATAAAAATAATTCCAGACTCAAACGGTTAAGCATACTACAATTATTTTCCAAGGATAATCGATCGGTCGCCAGGGAAACAATCCATCTAATTTTTTTTTCTGTTTGCCTTGTTCCTTTTTTCTATATCTATAGCACGTCTCAGCGCACTATGATATATCTCGATAAGCTCAAAAAAATTGATATGGATTATTTTCCATAGTCATAACTTGATTAGTTCATGTTTTTTATGTTGATCATATGATAACTGTAGTAAATCAATGCATTATTGACAAACCAAAATTGTTGGCTTATTGTGATGGAAAACTATTTTCTCAGAACATAAGATGATTTTACAAGTTCATGAGTTTGTGAATGGATGTGAGTCATTCATTGCTATGAGGGAGAGTCGTAAATATTTGTCTTCGAATAACATAATGTAAGATTTTCTATATAAAAAGAAATAGAATTTAAATGAAAGAAAAAAATTTTCTATACAATTTGTTTATATAGATATTCAATCAGTAAATTCAAATGACAATAATGATGATCTTATTAAAACAAGTTCATATCCAGATGATATAATTATTATTCGTTTTGATTGTATTATTCAAGATTATCGTACATATGTTGAACTTCTATCGGCTCTTCGTTCATCAACTCCAAATATTCAATTACAAATATGTACAATTGATATGCGTTGTATTGGTTTAGCACTTGTCAGTAGTTTTCTTGATCATGTTGATAAACGAGTAAATCATTAATTATTTGTTTTTTAATTTATTAAATAAAAATTTTTTCTTAGTTTGTTCATACACTTCGTGTTCCATATAATGTATTAACACGACAAAATTTAAAATATTTTCTTCCACGTTTACCAACTTTAACAAAATTACATACATTAGATTTATCATGTAATTTTATTGATTTTCGTCTTAATCATGATGATTTAGAACAGTTTTGTAATGTTTTATCACAATTAAAATATTTAAAAAATCTTTCATTAAGTGGTTCACCAGTAACAAATCGTCTTGAATATATATTAAATTCAATTGAACATTCATTAGATGTATTAAATCTTGATTTTTGTTCATTATGTGAAAATGATTTAATTAGTTTATGTCAAATGAGTACACATCATCAATTTTTACATTTAGATTTAGGTACAAATCGTTTAAATCGTTTTATGCGTACATTATTACTTGTTTTAATGAAACAAAAACGTCTTGTTGTATTAGAACTTGATTATAATCGTTTTTCATCAAATGATTATTTAGAATTAATAGCTTGTTGTCAACGTTTAACAACATTAAAATGTTTAAGTGTACGTGGACCAAATTCTTTAACAACACAATTAGCTGCTGCAACATTTATTGGTGAACATTATCCATGTTTACGTTCATGGAAAATAGCTTCACCTATTGAATATTCTTTAAATCGTTTTGTAGGAAATGATGAACAAAATTATTTAATACAAACTATTATGCCTTATGATATGTTTGTTAATGAAATGAATAAACGAGCCAAATGTCTTGTTTCTATAGCTGAACTTACTGTGTGATAAATAGAATTTTTTAAAGTAGTTTTTTTTTTTTTTTAAATTCTTTTGTGTGTGTTTTTTTTTCTTTAATAAAATAATGATGTAGATTATAGTTGAAAGTATTTGTCAGTTATTATAATTTAATACTTGTTCATTGATATACGTACATAATTTTCATAAGATCATTTATTCGATGAAAATGAGAATAAATGAAGACAAACTTTAGAAGAGAAAATCGTGATTTATAATGCATGTGTTTATATTATTATTTGTAGGATTGTACTGTTTTGTTGCTCACTTATCTTCTATTGGATTTACGCCCGAGTAAGTTCTATTCAATGACTCTTATTTGGGTACCTTCTCAACCCGATCCTTTTCAATGATTTAACAGTTTGATCCTAATATTATCAATTATAATGATTCAGAATTATATTTAATATATAGAATAAGATAACTTGTATCAAAAAAAAAGAAAAATACCAAAAGTTCTTTATATTTATAACGCACAGATACGTTATGTATGTAATGTAAAAATTAAGTTGTTTTTTCGGAGAGAACGAACATGTATTTTTTGGGAACACAGACACTTTGTATATGGTACAGTGACTGTGCGAATTCGAGTGAAATCAATAGTCAAATCAATCATCACACCCGCCCACACTTATGTTCTTAATTATTTATCATCATCATCATCATCATCAAATAATATAAAAAAGTCATTAACAATCAATAATTAAATAATCCTTTTGTTTTCAAACTCATTAACTTTTCATATCTACGTTCTCTTATGTATTCGTATACATATAGAAATGTATGTATTATGAGTGTGGGTGTAACTGCGAATCTTTTATGTTCCCTGACCAACATGCAGACATCTACATCCACACCCACACACCCGTAACGAATTGCTCTGCAATGAATTGTTCGATCATCTATTTGATGATATTCTACAATATAATGAATCAACTAATAAATAATGTCTTTCGTTTTTTACGCAGTTCGGTTTTGATCCTTGTTAATTCCAACAAGTCTAACAGATAAAACACGTGCGTGTTGTAACCTTCTCATCCTCCTCCTTATCTACCTGCTTGCTGCATGCACATACCTTACTATCTTTGAAAATAGCTTGACAACCATGAGAACAAAAGTCATTTTGTTCTATTTATGAGTTTTTCTTTTTCTTTTCTTTGTATGACGATACATTTCACTTGTTTTCATTTTTGTTATCTCTTTCTTACTTGATGCACAGAGATTTCGTTGTTGCTTCGTCAACATTCTTGAAATCAACGAAATATAAGAGGTGCCTAAAGTGAGAAACAAAACTGACACACACACTCCTAGAGTGACTGACCAAAAAAAAAGTGTCAACAGAAGAAAGAAAACAACAATATATATATATAAGGCGGCGAAATTTTGCTTGTTGCATTCATTCACTCATCCATCATGGGCAACCACAAATCGACAACAAATGCTGCTAGTGGACAAGCAGCTATCAATACCAGCAGTGCAGCTGTGCTACCTCATCGTATTCGTCGAATTGTACAAAACTTTCTTCTCGTCTGGCTCGATGCTCGTATTGATGAGTCGAAACAAGACTTCAAAAATTCACTAACACGTCTGCGGCATCTTGTGGTATCAATTACCACATTTACTGATGCTGATGAATGCATCCAATTTATGAAGGAATTAGAAGAAGAAAAAATATTTTTGATTATTTCTGGCTCACTCGGGGAACAAATTGTACCGAAAATCAATGCATGGCCACAATTAGATTCCATTTATGTGTTTTGTGGCAATCGATTGGTCCATGAACAATGGGCCAAAAATATGTCCAAGGTTAAGGGCGTATATACTGGTATTGATTCGATTTGTGAAGCATTACAAATCGATCGTGAACGATGTGATCAAGCTATGATCTCAATTAGTTTTCGTGACATTGGTGTATCGTTTATGTATACACAATTGTTCAAAGAAGTCCTTTTGGAAATTGAGGACGACAACACTAAATCCCTCAAAGAACTCATTGATTACTGTCGTCTTCAAGATGATATTGCTACAGACGAGATCGAGATGGTCGAACAAGAATATCGTCGTCATAAGCCCATTTGGTGGTACACAGCTCCATATTTTCTTTACTCGATGCTTAACCGTGGTTTGCGATTACTCGATGTTGATATTATACTCAAAATGGGTTTCTTTATTCGAGACTTACATCGACATATTGACGAATTACATCGCGAACAACAATCCACGAAGAAAATACTGAAAACTACATTTCAAGTATTTCGAGGTCAAGGTTTATCAATACAAGACTTTGAAAATATGAAACAAACAAAAGGAGGCCTGATGTCTTTTAACAATTTCCTTTCAACAAGCCGCAATCGTAAAATTTCAATGGAAAAATTTGCACGTCCGGCAGCATACGATCCTAATTTAGTTGGCATACTGTTTGTTATGACTATCGATCCGAAAGTCAGCGCAACATCATCAATACCTTTCGTCAACGTCAAAAATGTTGGCTACTATAAAGGTCAGGAGGAAGAAATTCTTTTCTCGACACACACAATCTTTCGCATCGATCAAATTGAACACATAGAAGACAAGCAGACTGATCGCTTATGGCAAGTTAATCTAACTCTCACGAGTAACCAAGACAATAAATTCAACACACTCATGGCATGCATACGTGAAGAGCTTAACTCGTCGTCAAAAGGATGGTCTCAACTGGGTGAAATACTTATCAAAGTAGGAGAGTCTGCAAAAGCAGAACAGCTGTATCAAATCCTCCTCGAAAAGGCATCTTTCGATAACGATCGAGCACATTATAATTCTCAACTTGGTCGGGTGTATGATAACATGGGTGAGTACTCAAAAGCACTTTCATTTTACGAAGCAGCACTTGGTATCTACGAAAAAATCCGTTCTCCGATCCATCTCGACTTGGCTGCTTCTTACAATAACATTGGTGTGGTGTATAATAACATGGGCAAGTACTCGAAAGCACTTACATCGTACGAAAAAGCACTCGATATCAAGAAGAAATCTCACACTTCGAACCATCTTGATTTGGCTTCTTCCTATAACAACATTGGTACGGTGTATAATAAGATGGGCGAGTACTCGAAAGCACTTTCATCGCACCAGAAAGCACTTGATATCAAGATAAAATCTCTCCCTCCAAACCATCTCGACTTGGCTTCTTCCCACGAAGATATCGGTTTGGTATATTATAACATGGGCAAATATTCGAAAGCACTTTCATTTTACAAAGAAGCACTCGATATCAGGATGACATCTCTCACTCCGAACCATCCCGATTTGGCTTCTTCCTATGGCAACATTGCTAAAGTGTATAATAGCATGGGCAAGTACTCGGAAGCACTTTCATTGCACGAAATAGCACTTGATATCCAGAAGAAATTTCTCCCTTCGAATCATTCCAACTTCGCTGTTCTCTACAACAACATCGGTAATGTATATGGTAACATGGGCGAGTACTCAAAAGCACTTTCGTCGCACGAAATAGCACATGATATTTGCCAAAAATCTCTTCCATCGAACCATCCCTACTTGGCTTATTCCTACGAGAACATCGGTTTGGCGTATAAAAACATGGGCGAGCATTTAAAAGCACTTTCATTTATTGAATGTGCACTCGATATCCGCAAGCAAACCCTTTCTCCGAATCATCCTGACTTGGCTACTTACTACAACAGCATTGGAGAGATATATGAGAGAATGGGCGACTACTCGAAAGCACTTTCATCCCATGAACAAGCACTTGATATCCGCCAAAAATCACTGCCTCAAAACTATCTGAAAATCGTAGAATCGAAAACAAACATTGAATTGGTGAAAAAGAAACTGTAATTGATTGTCTTTTCTCTTGCTCGAATAAATTTCGTTCGCTCCTTTTCAGTTTACTAGGAACCTTTTTTCGATCGAATTTTTCTATTCACACGTATCGTAGGCACGAAACGATGATAGTGATATACGTGTATACCTTGAGCTTCTCCATGCACTTCTGTGCATACTAACAGAACGTTGAATCTCTTTGACAGTGCTACAAAGCCACTCCACGGGCTTCGTTTAGACGGATAGGGATAGGAAGCTAAGAGCGTTGCGCAGAAACGAGGTACGGTTGTGAGGTTAGGAGTGCAAGGGTAAGAAATAGACGTGTGGGAGACGTAACGTAGGAGCGATGATAGAAAATGATATTGTCGCATGAATGATATAGTGTAAATGGCGAGCACGATATCCTACATATCTTCACATATTTCATTCCAGTTCCAATGTTGAAAATAATTGAAATTATATGATATATGTATGTACATATCATCATGTCTATGTGTCTTTATAGGTACCATTTTAGTTTCAACGTTAAGTACAACTGAGAAGAAACGACATGTGTACAGACTAAATGGATTGAGAGATAGAGAAAAGCAAAATACCGTGCAGTAGATCCATATATTTTTGACGTCGGCATGTAAACTAGAGCTTTCGTATTAGGATGGGTACTTGAATAATGCTGAAGCTTGTGTATTGGGTTTAACAATTGAACCTAATGGATTAGGATTATTTGTATTAAAGTTAATTCTTGTAAAGGTGTTGGCATTAGGTTAGCATTATTGCTAATTCTAACACATGTACTCAACGCAGCTTTTGGAGGACTACCTAGACATGCTGCCTGTAGCTTTTTAGACTGAAAATTTGTAGTTTATGTGATTCCGCAGCACCTGAGATGCTAGAGCCACCTCGCTAAATTCTACAGATGTCTTACGATATGCTAGAGACCCTTCCTGACATACTAGACACGTCTGCTGAGATGCTACAGGTAGCACCAACATGCTTTCAGTAACATGTCCAAGTACACCTGCAAAGTTTTGGGTAGCACATCCACGTAACCCTACAAAAGTTACGTTCATTACATGTATTAGAGTTCAAGCTCAAGCTAACCTAATACTAATACCTTGGCATTAAATAACTCTAATGCCATAATATCGAAGTATTAGTCTTAATCGTAATGTAGCATACATATATAAGAACTGTGGCGAATGTTATGAAAATGTACTTTCATGTTTGTACTCATGAATGTAGTTGATACAAATCTCTCTAATCAATATCAAAGTTACACACAAATTGTTAAAAGCCTAGTGAACTTTCGTTAATTCCAAATCTCAGTAGTGTTTGTGTAGGGTTTTTTGTGTCTTCTATGACCTCGATTACCTTCAAAACTACGATGAAACTAAGTACACACCAGTCGAATTAGATATACATTCAGTATTCTGTTACCAATCTCTATGGATCCTTGTTCTATGACGACTAATCATCATCTATGTCAGACTTGTACCAGATCCAGTTCATAACTGGAAAATTGTTCATCAGTTAGACTGCCACCCATGTAATTGGGAATAGTGCGTAACCAAGCGAGATAATACATTGTTTTTGTTCTTATTTCATTAGAACAATGAAAAACATATGATAGAACATTGCAGCTATCCTACTAAAAGGGACAGTGGATTTATTTTTTCGTGATTCACAAAATACAAAATCATTTATATATATATAAAGTGATGCTCACTACTAAATTCAAGTGATGTTTGATTTTCACTCTTTTTTATATTCAAGTGAACAATCAAGTAAAACAATTCGTGGACTTTCGGTTCGTCTAAATTAACAATCAAACGAACAAATTGCAATTACATTTCATAATTAAATCTCAATATCTTTTTATATTTTGATCAACAACATCTTTCAATAAATATGCATCTTGTATTGAACCTTCTGGTATCTATATTAAAAACTAATTTACAAAAAACAAAAGCAAAAAATAAAAATAAAGAAAAAACAAATTTTTTTTTCGAAACGAGCATATCATTTATTATCCATATCTCATCATTCATTTTCATCAATTATAACTGTTTGTACAACATCAAGTGATATTTGACAAACCAAATCACTTCTAATTCTATTTAATTGAAATTTGGCTTATTGTGATATTTCATTTTGTACAAAATTCAGTGCTTTACAGTAACTGTTCCAGGACACAAACCATGTAAACTAAGAACTGCGCAAAAACTGCTTTTTTTTTGCTTTATACAGACAATATTTTGGACTTTTTCATAAAATTTATTGATAGCTGTTCAATCTTACTCCAGAAGGAAAATCTAAACATATTCTCGAAAACAAAGAAAAATTATAATTTCAACTACCTACCTATAGCTCTAACTACTTGTCTCGTAGTGCCCAAAAAATCAGTGAATATTTGGTAACAAGACGTTTGCACCATAGGTTATATAAAGGGTGTCACATAATAATTGAGAATAAATTGTCAACAACATTTTTCATACTTTTTCTTGACGTCGAATACTGAAATTTTTATCAGATGTATATCTAACCAAAATTTCAACTTTTTAGATAAAACTAATGTTATTTCTCATTCCACAAGTACTGAGAGAGCATAGGTGACTATGAACCTCTAATACGGTCAGTTTTTGATTACTTTGGCTGGAGAAAAAAGTTCTGATACAAACATCACCTCCGTTTCTCTAACATATTCCGTTCGATCAAGCTGAAATTTTTTCCTCAGATATTGAATACTGTTTGGGATGCCTACTTATTTTTGATTCGAAAAATATTGTACCGTTGATTTTACAAAAGAAATTCTAATATCCATTTCAAAATGTAGTGTGCTTCACTATTTTTTGAATAACTTTTGATAGAAGCATCATAAAGATCTGCGATTTCCACATTTTCAATCTACAGGGTATGTCAAAATTATAGATCCCCCTTTGTCATCGAATTTTTTCTCTGAAAACGAGCTGCTGAATCAAATGTAAGTAGTGATTTCGATAGCTCTCGAAGTTCTCTATCGATTGCACTATATTGGAAAATTTCAAAGATGACTTCACCAGGAGATTTTTTGAAAATGCGTGAGACACCATTTTTTGACTTTTGAACGATTTATCAGACATCGTTTCCAATGTATCCATCTGATAGAGCTGAAAATTCTGAGCAAAATGAGTGGTCGCACGACTCTCCACGATTTTCCGGTCAGAAGTTATAAGTATGTCAAAAGTTAAAAAAAAACGTTTTTTTAGCTGATTTTCCACATTTTTTGATGCTTTTTGCGGTTTTTCTGACTTTTGACATACTTATAACTTCTGACCGGAAAATCGTGGAGAGTCGTGCGACCACTCATTTTGCTCAGAATTTTCAGCTCTATCAGATGGATACATTGGAAACGATGTCTGATAAATCGTTCAAAAGTCAAAAAATGGTGTCTCACGCATTTTCAAAAAATCTCCTGGTGAAGTCATCTTTGAAATTTTCCAATATAGTGCAATCGATAGAGAATTTCGAGAGCTATCGAAATCATTACTTACATTTGATTCAGCAGCTCGTTTTCAGAGAAAAAATTCGATGACAAAGGGAGGTCTATAATTTTGACATACCCTTTACATAAGGCCGACATTCCTAACTTGTTCCGTTCGACAGTGATAAACCTTTTTCTGAGATCTCCCATTTTAGTCAATTGACTTGTGATCATCCGAAAAAGCATCTAGACAGAGATAATTCACCATGTTGAATGAAATGGTGGTATTTGTTTTTAGATTCAAAATGATCTGATTCTGTTATCGCAATATTTCTAAAACTCCACAATCAACTTCTATGTAACAAAGGAATCGACATTTCGGATGTATTGAGATAACAGTGTCAAATCATTCGAAATTCAAAAATAAATATCACCATTCGATTTAGCATGATAAATTATCCCTGCCTAACTGATTTTCCAAGTGATCACACATTAATTGAGGGTCTCAGGAAAAAGTCGTATAACTCTCGAATGAAACAAGTTAAGAGTGTCGGTCTTGCTCGTAGATCGAAAAGATGGAAACTACAAGTCTCTATAATGTTTCTATCAAAACTTATTCAAAAAAACAGTGGAGTACATTATATTTTGAAATGAATAGTAGTACAAAAAAAAACATGTATTTTTGAAACTACGCTCAATATTTTGGTCTTTTCATTCGAATGATAGGAGACAATAACAAATTAAAAAAAAAAAAGGTAGATACCACAAACAGTCTCTAGTATCTATAATCGAATATGATTTATTTCATTTATATAACTAAGGCAACCTTTTTTTAAACTATATCTAATGTTTATTTATAAAACAAAAAAATAATCAAACTTCAATTAGTATCGAATGTTCATTTGTTTAGAACTAATTGGTATAACTCTATTTTGTATTCACACACACACACACACATAAATATATAAACATATCACAATGTGCGTGTATATTCCAACAATAATCATGACAGATAGCCATCACATAAACACATAGAGTTACTTATCATCAAGATAGATAGAAGAAGAATGAAAAAAAAAAGGGAAGATCAATGAATAAAATACCGCTATGATGATATTGAAGAAAAAGAAAATCGATTTTTATTTAGTGAAGATGAAAATTACAATACATGCTGTTCTTTAAGAAAAAAAACCCGACACAACGGTTTTTTTTTCTTCTATTTCGTATATGTTTTTTGTTTGTTTGTTTTTATACAAAGCAGAAAAAAGAATAATCTGACCAAAGGCTCACAACAAGAAGACGCACTTTTGTCTGAGTCAAACTAAAAAAAAAAAAAAGAAAAAGAAAACCAACACAAACTAATTTCATATATAATATAATAAATTGACTTTATCAAAACAAAAAAAAAGAGAAAAAGAAAAAAAACAATGTTTTCTTCTATGCATAATCAGCTGCTGTACGAGATGGTGAATGAATATCACGTTGTGTATACATTGGATAAAATGTTTGTCGTGCATATGGACTCATTCGTGTCGTATGATGATTATTTGATGATGATGATGTTGGTTCATTAACTGATCGATAATTTAAATCCGATAATTGAGAATAAACAAATGCATCAGCAGCATAACTTGCTAAATCAGGATTAACTAATGAATAAGCTGTTGGTGACATAAAATTAACTGTTGGATCTAAAACAGAGATTTTGCAAAAAAAAGAAATATTTATTTTCATAATTCATTTTTACCTTGCGGATCAGATATAAAACGAGAAGTTATTGCAGCAGCTGTATTAAATACATTCGATGTTGTTTGTTGTGTAACATTTGTTGGAGGATTTGTTTGCATATTTGTTTGTGTTGTCATTGTTGAATTATTATTTGATTTTGGATGTGAACGAAGTAAACGTTGATTTGAATTTAAATGATTTAATACTTCTGCAACACTAAAAATAATGGTTTGGTTTTTTTGTAATTTTATTCAAACAAAACAAAACAAAACAAAAAAGATAGTCATACCAATCTTCAGGATCACAATCTCTAAAACCTTTAGCAAATGGATTTGATGCAATTTTTAATTGTGTTATACGATGATTTTGATAAGCAGTAACACCAATAAATTTTGTTTCAGGAAATGTAAATGTACGAAATGCTTGAGTTTGTTGAACAAGTAATTCATCAGCTTTTGATGATGGAGAATAAACACAATGAACTCGTGGTTGATAACGATGCATTGAATTAAGAATAATCTTTATATAACAACAAAAAGAAAAAATACGATTTTAAAAATTATTATTGTTTTTTTTTTCTTACATGTCCATTTTCATCAAGTAAATTATTTGTTAATTTAAGTTTATCAAATGATACAACATTTTTCATCCATGATGCACCTGTTTGTGGTGAATCTGGATGAACATGAAAACGACCTGGACAATGTGGATCAGCTTTACCAGCAACAACCCAACTTGAACTTAAAACAAAAAAAGAATTTATTTTATTTATAAAAATTAAAAACTTGATGGTTTTTTTTTTTTTGTCATTTCTTTTTACCTATAAAATGCATAACGATAACGTTTATCATCTAATGGAATAAAATCTACCATAAGTAAATATGTTGCTGTTGGATCCATTCCATAAATTTTCACTTGTAAAGTTGGAAACATTCGTCTAAAATAATAACATAAGTCGTTAAGACTTGTTATCTTGGACGTGATTGATAATCTACTGTCATAAGGATATGTGCATTTCTTCGAGCTATCAGTAGCACATGTTCGCAAGAACGACGTGCTTTTCTTTAGAATAGTGTGAGATGATCTCAAGAGACACCGCTCGATTGAGCCATTAGCATGAATCTTATCTGTTTGTTGTCTCGAATGATATTCAATATGACTTTTTTTTATTTTTATTCTTACATTAGATTTGTATGCAAACAATGATCATTGCTACGACGAGTTAGATACCTAATTACACTTATGAAACTCATTTCCACTATATATATTCATATTAATGATTTTTTCATCAGACATATATACACAACAGAAAAAAAAGAACAATCATTTGACTTGTTTCATGGTTTCTCTAACAAATTAACTAAAGAAATTATCACTCATCTAATACATTTTGTATTTTTTACCTTCCTGATCTTGTAACAATCATTTCTGTTCCAAGTTTATCAAATTCATCCCATAAAGATTTTGATTCAATAACCATTTTAATATTAGATAATTTTGGATGAAGTGGTTTTTTTATTTCATTATTACCATTTTGACCTGTACCATGTTCATTATCAGATTTATTTATATCAAGCATATTATTGGATGTTGATTTAATTTTTTCTGTTGCTGATTGAATATAATCTAAAAAA